CACTGAAGTGACAAAAGTCATGAGATACCTCCTAATATATTGTCGGTCCTCCTTTTGCACGGCGAAGTGCAGCAACTCGAAGTGGCATGGACTCAACAAGTCGTTGGAAGTCCCCTGCAGGAATATTGAGCCATGCTGCCTCTATAGACGTCCATAATTGTGAAAGTGTTGACGGTGCAGGGTTTTGGGCACGAACTGACCTCTCGATGATGTCCCATAAATGTTCGGTGGGATTCATGTCGGGCGATCTAGGTGGCCAGATCATTCGCTGGAATTGTCCAGAATGTTCTTCTAACCAATCGCGAACAATTGAGGCCCGGTGACATGGCGCATTGTCATCCATAAAACTCCCATCGTTGTTTGAGTACATGAAGTCCATGAATGGCTGTAAGTGAATCTCCAAGTAGCTGAAGGTATCCATTTCCAGTCAATGATCGGTTCAGTTGCACCAAAGGACCGAGTCCATGCCATGTAAAAACAGCCCAGACCATTATGGAACCACCACCAGCTTGAACAGTGCCTTGTTGACAACTTGGGTCCATGGCTTCGTGGGGTCTGCGCCATACTCGAACCCTACCATCAGCTCTTACCAACTGAAATCGTGACTCATCTGACCAAGCCACGGTTTTCCATTCGTTTAGGGACCAACCGATATGCTCACGAGCCCACGAGAGTCGCTGCAGGCGACGTGTGGCTGTCAGTAAAGGCACTCGAGTCGGTCTTCTGCTGGCATAGCCCAAGGAAGACAAATTTCACCGCACTGTGCTATCGGACACGTCCCTCGTACGTCTCACATTGATTTCTGCGGTTATTTGACGCAGTGTTGCTTGTCTGTGAACATTGACAACTCTACGCAGACGTCGCTGGTTTCGGTCATTAAGTGCAGGTGGTCGGCCACTGCGCTGTCCATGGTGGGATGTTATGCCTGAAATTAGATACTATCGGCACACTCTTGACACTGTGGATCTCGGAATGTTGAATTCCCTAACGATATCCGAAATGGAAAACCCATGCGTCTAGCTCCAACTACCATTCCGAGTTCAAAGGCTGTTAATTCTCGCCGTGCGGCCATAATCACGTCAAAGCCTCTTCACATGAATAACTTGAACACAAATGAAAACAATGCCAAATCACTTCGCATTTATACATTTTCTACGCGATACTACTGCCATCTGTATATTTGCATATTGCTATCCCATGACTTTTGTCACTTCAGTGTATTTAGATAGTACAAATGCAACAAATTGGTTCGGCGGATTACACGGCGATAACTTTGAATTATTATACTCATACGTAAATTTCGGATACGTGAGCATCTCATACCGTATAAGAGTTCAGGCGGCTCCATTGCCGTTAATTATTGAAAGCCAAGTTGCTCTGTATTAGCGGATACATCTAAGATACGTGACTGGCATCATTTTCTTAGAATTTACTTAACGATCATAAAATAACTTTGTTAAATTTGAGTTTTAACCCTTTGACGCGCGCGATATTATTTTTATAATTTTTTTAACTAAAAACTATAGAAATTGAATATAATGATCCTAGAGACAAATAATATATGAATTAAAAAAAAACTACTCTTGTCCATTCTTTTGTGGGTGGTGGTCGCACTGTGAAACCACCGCGCGTCTAGGACTTCGAAACTTACCTAGGTAGTAGGAAAAAAAAAAACTTACCTTTTCCCGTGTGCGTTTCCAATAAATGACGAAATTTATGAATTTTTTAAAACAAATGCATGTAAGAATTGCATGATATATATATTTTACATTATTTTACAAACTAAATCGTTAGAAAAAATTTAAAAATAAACATTTATGTAATTTTTCTATAGCAGTGAATGTATAAGTATCTACATAATAAGGACGTTTGGTTGCATGGATTAAAAAACTCAGTAAAATAAGGATAAAAAAAAAGACTCAGACTTTTTTTTTTTTTTTTTTTTTTTTTTAAATTTCAAAGATCAAATATTTTTTGTGACACTGTTCAAAGCATGTTTTACCTTTTAGTACATGCATAGACCCACATTGCATGTTTCGCACATGTACTATCTTCCATGATGTTTCTTCCTTGTGCTACAAAATGTACACTGATTGGATCTAAATTTCCCCGGTTTATGCCCAGCGTTATTTAGTTTCTTTTCATCTGGCACATGACATTTGTGGTTTTTTTATGTTAATGAGGGGGAGGGCTTGGTCGTTTTGGCTTTGGTACGGATCATTCGTTTCCCATTCATACTTATTTTATTCGTATTTCGTCTCAAAATATTCAGAAAATATTTTTAATTTAAATAAAACTTTACGCGTTTTCTATTTTTAATTACAGCAAAGTATATTTACATTAAATTTAAACCACAGGAAATAATTAATAAAAATCACAATACTAGCTTGGGGAGCAAGTGTGTTGAGGTCAGAGAAAAGTCTCTGGAAAAGAAAGGCCTTTTTACTGGGCAGGTGAGTGTATTGTTTAGTAATAAAATAACTCCGTGATTTCAAAACCCCTTATCTATATCCGGGTAAAAATAAACATTCCTATTTGAGAAGCAAGCAAACGCCATTGTAAAGAGCAGTGGTTCCAAGGCGCGACCACCAAGTCTCTAGAGCATTGTGACACAATGCTCTAGTGGGGCAGTGGTCGAGCCCTGAAACCACAAAGCAAATGCCATATATATAGAGGGGTTTTTTTTTATATATGCAGTTTAATTATTGCTATTTTTTATTGTTTATGATAGAAATCATGATGTGCGATGAATAACTTTTGAAATTTAAAGTTGTTTATATTAATAAAAGTAAGTTATTTTGTCTCATTGAAAACGAATTTTAAAAGGCATCCTATTTGAAGTACTAAGACCTAAAACATGTATGATTCTGTAGTCATTTTATGTTATTTAGAGATCAAAGATCAGTAATCAATTTATTTTTCTCATAAATTTCCGAAGAAAGAGGAGAAAAAAATTCGAAAATTGGTGGTTTCAGGGTGCAACCACCGCGCGTCAAAGGGTTAAGAGCTAAGAACATTTGTTTAATGGTATGCTTTAAGCACTTTAGTTTAGTGGTACGCTTTAAGCGCTTTTGTTTAGTGGTACATTCGTGTCTTAATTATAAATTTACTAGCCTGAGCAAAAGAGTTAGCTTAAAAAAAAAGAATGATATTCCTTTACAAATTGAGATTTGTAATCTTTACATAGAGACTTTTCATAACACTAGAAAAGAATAAACGCGAAAGTTAACAAGAAAAGAAAGAGTAACTTTCACTTTAGTTGCCTGATAATTTTACCATCAGCTTCTTCAATCAGCAATTTCGAAATCTTGCAACTAATCTTATTATAACCAATTTTGCGAGTGATATGACTGCAATGCTTTTCCTGAATTGCTGAAAAGATTGCTAGGCTAAACTCCAAAATCCAAAATTACATTTTTTTCCCTCTTGTAAAATGAATGAAGGTAATTCTTCTTATGACTTAAGACACTCTTTCCTATTCAGATATTAACGCTAGTTTAAATAAATCAGTTTTCTCAGGAAATAAAAGACGTTCACTGATGATTCAAGCAAATACCCTAACATTAATGACCTGATTTCTCAAGCAAATGTTCCAATATTATTTCATGGAAATCTGTAATGTTATAAATACATGATTTCTTCTTCAATGATATGGAAACGCCTCTCTTTTCATTAGTTAATTAACCCACCATAAATTAATATTCTGTAGAATATGTATATCTTAATTACTTTATGATTTATCTTATAGTAACATTTTACTACGTCTGAATAACTTATCAAATATGATAAAATATTGTTATAAGATTAGGGTAGAATATGCTAGTGAATATTTACGGCGCATAATCTTAAGTCTCATACGCCTGATATACGTTGAATATGGAGAGAATAAAATAACGAAAACAGTTTTTTGAACAGTATCATAGCAATTTATTAGTAAGATACATAACATTAATAAAACCTGAAAGATGGTTACAGTTATAGAATAAAGTAAAAATCTCAAAAAAAAAAAAAAAACGATCAATACAAGTATAAAATAAAGTAAAATCTCAATAAATTAAATACATTAAAATATATAATGTACCTAATAAACAACATTAAATCCAATTCAGATGGGGTAATAAAAACCAGTCTGTCTTAAATATTGAAACAAGTTTATGTCTTTTTCCGAGTAAATGGTCGAGGCGTACACATGAGCTGCTAAATTTCTTCAAACGAATTGTGTTAAAGCACAGGCAATCTACTAAAGTGAGATAGAACTATATAATAGATAGAACTATATATAACTATTGAGCTAATAGGTTTAGTCTCAGCTTTGAAAACATTAAGTATGAATAACTCGAAAGCGATCAACTTTAAGGCTACTTAATCTCTCCCTCCCAGTGTCCCACTCAAAGTTTAATACGTCTCAGTTTACGTTTTAGATGCTAATCCCAAACAAGTTACCATTTATTGAGAATGTTTAGCTTACTGTGAATTGTCATATCTCTAAAAGAAATAAATCGACTGGGTAATTCCACAACAGACTTTATGATCATGTCTGTTATCTTATTATCCGCTCATGTCCTAGAATCCAACAAGAAAGAACAGCGTACCAAACATTCCTTAAGCTCAGTATTATGACTTCCATAACTAAAGGATTCTGTGTGTCATGAAAAAATTTCTGAAGATTTTGACGCACTGGACAAGTAAGTATACATGACAAACTTTCTCCATCATAACTTAGTTATATATTAAAGCGCAAAATAGATAGCAGATAATTCTAAAGTTAGCACTACAGAATAATTATCTGATTTGATAATCTAAGTGAGTCGATATGATCGGAATCGAACTCCCATGTATTTGGAGAATGCGTAATGTAAATGAAAGCTGGTTTTCCTGAGAAAAATGTATCACGAAATCAGACTTTCTTATCACATAAATATTGATTGATTTGCTGTAATCAGTTACCTAACTTAGTATCTACGTTAGTTTGAGGGCATTTATTCTCATTTTGTTCTCAGGAAACCTCAGAAGAACTGACGATGGAGGAGAACAGCGAAAACGGCGTCCTTATACGAGCCCGCACCAAGGGTCTACCGCCTGAAGTCCCGGCCATCGCTGTCAAGCTAAGTGAGCGAGATCATCAACGAGAACGTCATCGATACGTACAGCCGAAGCAGCCTCCGCCTGAGGATCTCTATTACAACTCCCAGCCTCCAACTAGCCTGCACCACCCGCCCAAGATTACCCATCACCACCGCCCTTACCATCAGCCTCCACCTTCGCACCAACAGTACACTGCCAGTAGGAGAAGAGAGGAGCCGCCCTCGACCGCTCCCCGATGGGTGGTACCACCTGTCGTTACAGAGCAGCCTACCAAGATGGCCGGGCCGTCCTACCAACCACAGGAGAGCATGGAACGGCTTGCGGAGAGGGTGCCCTCGTTCTACCCCGAAGAACAGCTACCACGTGACCGATATGAACCACACCATCGTAGGACTCGAAGTATGGTTCCACCAAGCAGAGGCGGTGTGGGCTATGATATAGAGGCAACCACCCCTTTGCGACGATCTACAGGTATGTTGAGGACAGAGAGTGATTATCGCATGCCGCCAAGAAGAAGCTTCCATGTTTCACCCACTATGCAACACAGAGGTCGCGTCCGCCGGTACGAAGAGCCTCCCCGAAGTGGGGGTATTCTGCGTCGGAGGGGCGCCGGAAGGGAAGGCGGCGGCTTCGAGAGTGCGTCTGACACAGAAGCACAAGACTTTTGGACGATGGGTGGTTCCCGACGCAGCTATAGTCACTATGGTGGCCGCAGCAATTCACTGCCACGATCTCTAAGGAGCGGCTTCGACCGTCGCCAGGCGGTCCGCTTCACCACCTCCCTGCCTTACGATTCCCAGGAGGAGAGCGACGGGGCCGTCTCCGCGCCAGAGCTTCCAGCCACAAGATCGCTGAGGAGGCGTGAGTCTATGTCTCTATATAAATATTATGCTGTGCTTTAAAACTGAAGATGAAACATGTTTTGCACTAATCCAGTAAATCTTCTCTAGATTATACCTTTTTTCCAGCAACCCCCTAATACATACCTCAATGCGAACAGCGGACTATCAGATTCAATTACAGGTTATACCATCCATTTTTCCCATATTTAAATAATATGAATATTTTCTTTCAAACTTTAGAGTGCAAGACATCATGTTGGTAGAAGGTACATTGCCAATGGTTCTCTATATTAACTGAGAAGACCGAAACGATTAACAATGTAGCCAGCACATAGGCATAATCAATATGGACAGGAGACGCTTAAATGAAACGCTTGCACCCCTCTCGTATGGTTGTCAAGCACGCGAGATGAGAACGTCTAGCCGCATTGTATTGGAAAGAAAATGTTTTCAACAAATCTTGTACTAGCAACACATCATGTGAAATGTAAAGAATTATCTGTCAGCAAATCATCTGAAATATAAAGATTCAGTCTGGTGTTATGTGAAAGGCCTGATGCTTTAAAGTCTACCTCACAGTTTTCATTCTAATAGAGGTGAGCTATTTTTAAGCGTAAGATAATATTTCCCTTTAGAAAATGTATCGAAGTCAATGTAACAAGTTAAAAATGCTACTAATTTTCCATAAAGAAATTTTATAAGCATTATTGAAATACGTATCACGTATTTTCACGCGCATTCATTGAGTCTTTTCTAAGCCAAATTTCCGTATGTTAAGAGTATCCTCATACATGAAATCATCAATTAAAAATCCAGTTTCTACAATATTTTTCTCCAAGGCAGTGTAAAATTTAGTTTGAAAGCTAAAGGCGATCGACTTAACAAAAACCATCAGTGTTCTTCTTGCATTTTTCTTCCACAACATTTAGCACTTCTAGCTTAAAAATTTTGGTGAAGTTAAAAATAGATATGATAAAAGAGGACAGACAACTCAAAATAAGATATTAAATTTCGGTCTACGTCATTAAATACTAATCTATGCCTTAGCAAAATTACCAAGTTTGAAAAAGAAAAGAAAATTGAAAGTTTTCAGATTTTAAATTACGTCCAAAGGGGCGTTTTTTTTTTTTTTAACATTTTTTGTGTTACCTTTATTTATTAAATATCATGTTATTTGCACTTAAATCATAAAATTAAGTTCAATAGCAATGTCGCAAAATAATTTTAAAATGAGCCTATCTTTAGAATTTCCGATACACAGTTCCGGTATTTTCGTTTCTGGAGATAAAAAGGTCCCCCCCCCCATAGAGTGTTGCCATTGCTCGCTTGTAAATCCTTGAGTTTGTTAATCAGAAATTCGTTAAAGTTTTACAAATTTCTAATATTTGGTGGCAACAGTTTGAAAAGGGAAACGGGCATTTATAATGATTCAACGCAAAAAGGCAAAACGAAAATAGTCCTTCAGGGACAAAGCCCCCTTTGTACTATAAAGAAAAGAAAGAAAAAAACGTTATTTAAAGGGAAAATGTTTTTACATTTTAACAAAGAGGAAAATCGCTTAGGTTACTTTTGTCAAATTTGTACAAGTATAAGATTTTTCCGAAAAAATGAAAAGGAATTATCACTTCACATTTCTAAAATTTTGTAAGCAACATTGTTTAGCAAATTGCTGTCTGTATTATTTCAACAGAAATGGCTGGCACAAATTCATGTTTCACTGTATGATGAAGCTAATTATCTTAAAATTATAAATTCTATATACAGTAAGTTTGATTAACACTTAATAGTCCTAAGCCAAAAGGTGTTACTGCAATCGCTTAATCGCCTTTTATCAGTAACTAATGCTACATATATCTTTTGAACCTGCTAATATTTTTTTTAAAATTTCTACTTATAGGTAACTAAATTATTTTTATTTGTAATTATGAGAGTGATATATAAACAATTATGTATGGCATTAATGTATTCATAAATTTCGTCAGGAACAACAAGGTAAATGCTTTCTGTGACAATTTGTGCCTAAGGTTTTTATTTTTAAATTTCAGCTTATTAACTATTTATTTGTTTATTAATTTACCACTCTCTCATTCCCTGTAAGAGATTTTAATGACAGCTCACTTTAATAATATGCTGATAACTTTTTTGAATGGGCATATACGATGAAGGTACTTTTGAGAGGTTGTGAATTGCTTTGGGTTCAAGTACAGTCAGAAAGACAAGTACAGAAACTCATGACCAGCTCTTCCAAGTGCTCGAATAATTGAAAGTACTCGATACGGTATCGAGTCGAATAAAAGCTTCACTCCTTATCAGGAAGAAATGATAAATACATTCTGTGGTTGCCCATAATGCAGTCTCTTTGTTGAATACTTCGCAAGTCATCTAGTTGGATCTGATTTGAAAAACGCACCTTAAATTCAGGATAATGTTCATTCAGACAATTTGTCATTTATGCACGGCATGGATTTCTTAGAAAAAATGACTGAAATTAGAAATGTATGACCCTCTCTACCAAAAAATTATCTACTTGAACTAATGAGTCTCATCGATATGCCAATGGAATGCACTCCACACTATGAAACATTCTTCTCTAACTTAAATGGTAGATTTACTGCCTCATGCAGTTCAAACGCATTTAATTTTCAGTCTATTAGTATAATCATTCGCAATTCATGATAACATTCCCAGGTTCAAGGCAAATCCATCCTCCGTCGCCGTAATAATAACAATGATTCTTTATCATCCGATTATTCCACTCCATATCATGTTTTTTTATTCTACAATCCACTTTGAAATTCTCTTAATCATGAATAAGAAGAATTAGCAATAAATTCAAATATAATTTGATGTAACATCTCTCTTTTTGGGCGTTTACCATATTTCTCTGGCGAGACGGATGTCGAATTCTTTATCCGTTTAGTGATGCTTACTACGATCTTGTGTAACGGATGTATTTCTAAAAATTAAATGTTCTTTGTGTATGCTTACCACTGCTTTCCATAAAGAGACAGAACTTCAGACATGAACTCCTGCCCCGTTTATATACCTTTCAGGAGAGAACGTCCAGAATCCGGAGACCATCCATGCAGGCGCAACACCCGCGGTCCTTGGAAAAAGCTTGGGAAAAAGTACCCTCACACATGAATTAAAAAATTCGATGACAACTTTGTTTCCGAGCACCACTCCGGTCGCATCACAAACATTCATAAGGATGTTCCATCCACTCTGTCAGTCCTCCAGCAAAGGATCTAATGGAACCAAACCCCCAAGGATAGCCACAATATCTAAAAGTATAACGACCCCCCACACAAGAATTAAAAAAATTCCAAACCAAGGGTCCAAAGGACCTTCATGATCGACGATATTCGGAAACAGATCTACTTGTTACACTGTGATAGGGTTTCTACTCAGGCGCCCAAAACGACTGAACTTAGTTCATGAAGTGAACAGCCAAGGGACAGACAAGACAGTAGAGTATGGTCCCTGCCGAGGCTTGAACCATCCTCCGAATGAATGGAGCTCTAGCACAGATCTTTGGTTCTATTCCTGTGAAGAGTGATTATATACCCCTGTGGCCAAAACTGCGTAAGTGCAGATCCCAGCCAGTAGCTCCACCGGTTTTCCTGCTTCGACACCCCGGGACCCCCCTGACCTCTTTACTCCTTAAAGAGCGACAAACGAAGTTAACCCCTGAGTTATAGCGCATCTTTCTGACTTCAACAATCTGCATCAGTTGAACAGTCATGCTGTCGATGCTCGCCTTTCAAATTTGAATAGATGCACAGTTACCTTGATTTCTAAATGTTAAGTCATACAGACATCATTATCAGCAATAACTTATTGCTGATTCCAATTCCAACGGGCTGAATAAAAATAAACACTGCTGAATTATGTAAGCAGGATATTTCACTTAGACGAATATTGTAAAAATTTAAGTTTTACTTAAACATAAAAATAAACACTGCTGAATTACGTAAACAGGATGTTTAACGTAGACGAATATTGTAAAAATATGTGTTGTACTACTTACTAGGCAGTTTCTCACTTGCAAGTTGTCAGTTACCAAGCCTTAAACACCCTACACTACATATCACTGAAAGAGAATCTCAAACTTACTGTTATGTTCAATTGATATTCTTCCTTAATACCGAAATTTTAATCAAGACTAAAGCAAATGTTTATTATTTTGCAATTACACTTTCTTGAAGGCCCGATGGCGCAATGGTTAGCGCTTCACATACATAGCAGCTTTTTATCACTTTATTTATATAATTTACGGCAATCGAGAGTCAAATGCATTTACAAGTTAAAATAAGTCACCCTTCGTAGTCACACGATTCTGAGTTTGGACAAAGTTCTGCTCCTTAACCTCATGAGTAACCAAAGATCGCTTAGCTTTATGGTTTATATAAAGACTAAGCCTTATTATCATCTGCAGGATATTGTTCTGGATGAAACTGAATTCCGACAGTTAGGTAATGTATTAAGACTAACTAGTAACCGTTGACGATTGACAAATACTTCATTTTCTGGAACTCAGAAATTTTGTGAGTTTTTAACAGATTTTTCTAGTCTAAATATATGAAGGAATGCTTGACATTCTCAATTCTCATTACGGTTCAATATCAGTTTCACGTTTGTTCGAGTATAATTTATTTATCAACAGTACAACGTCACTTTATATTCATACAGTTATAAGGTATTTCTCCCGCCTTCTTGGCATATGCCTTCGTGGTGTGGTGGTCTGCACGCTGGGTGCATATTCCAGAGGTCCGTGGTTCGATTCCCGGCGAAGGCGTTGCTAATTTTTCATCTTGCCTGCCTTCTAAAAATACCTAATGTCTCTACACAGTCACCATGGAAATTAATCTCCGAATCAAAAAGATCCTGATATGTGTTATCTTTAATCTCCGTTATTAATCTCAGGACGGCTAGGGGTAAGTTGGGCTTTCACTTTTCATTCAATCTGGATAACTCTTGCATTTTATAAATGCTTTATTATTACAGTAAAATACATAC